TAAGGAGACTTACTTATATTCAGGGTTCCTGATAGTTTGGAGAACTTGGGTCACTATTTGCTTTACTCCTTCATCACATAAATTATTATTTCCTCTTCCTAGACACAAACTTAATCTATTTATTTTTTGAGAACTACACTCTTTGTAGAGTTTCCAAAGATAGCTTAATGCCAATGTGTACATGTGCTTGACAATACAAAAAAAAGTAGTTTCTCTGTATCATTTCACACAAGGGTAGAAATAGTAGCAAGAACAATCAGTAGCAAGGTTAGCACAGACCAAACAAAAACACAAAAATCCATCCAAAACAATTATTTCTCAACTTAAAATCAGCCAGGGACTCCAGTTTTTAAAGCCAAAACAAATCCAACACAACAATCATATATTTTTCAAGGACTGCTCTAGTATGCTGCTGAGTTCATATACATCCATAATTAATATAAAGAAAATTAGCAGTCTTAATGAGAGACGGATAAAACAACCAGGCCTCACAGTAACCCAATAACCCACAGTACAATTAAAAAAAACCTTGTAACTCCTGTAAATCTTTCATGGGGAAAAAGGAAGGAGGGGTCCTTGGTGCTCTCTGACCGTGTTTTTTTTTCTTGCAGACATTTCATTAACCAAACTAGATAACATCATCAGTATTAGTGTTAAAAGGAAGGAGCCAACCCCAGGAAAAACCTGGAGTCCAGAACCCTGGAATAGGCAGCAAAAATATTCTGACTAGAAAAATGCAAAACAACAACAACAACAACAAAACCAGAAGGGAAAATATAGGCTGGAACATAGTGAGATGTTGGGATGAGATGGGGATCTCATCCCAACTGTAGTTGCATCAGTAGCATCAACTAAGCTTTGATATGAATAGGGAGCCAGTGCTATGACACACAATCCCATGCATTGCCTCCTTTTATTAAAAATGAAAATTTTAGGAAGAAACACCTGTCTGTAGGATCTGAGCAATCCTGAGAAATTCACAACAGTGGGGATCTTAAAAGATGGTGGAAACCTTGATGAGAGATTTTTTTTTAAGCAGAAGATACCATGGATGGTCTCTCAAAGAAGTCCCTTTCATTTGGCAAGGATGAAAATTCAACGCTCTTTGAGGTCTCTTCTAACTCTCTGCTTTTGGTATCCATGCCACGCTAATGTGTAAAGTGCAGATAACTACTCAGAAACGCCAAAGATTACTGAAGACAGCCTATGGTGAAGAGTTCATTTCATGCCCAGCAGGACAATTAAGTTGAAACAGCATGACGGATTCACAACCACATGCCTCAATATATGTACATATTTCTTTCTATGTTGAAAGATGTGTAAAATAAACTGTCACTCTTATACTGGAGGAGCAAACATCATGCTTATTTGTAAGGTGTTTTGAAATAATTAATTTCTCCTGTCCGCTCGATCAAGAGATTTTCAAACAGTGAATAATACTGTATTGAATGCAGTTACTGAGCAAATAATCCAATTTTGCCTCTGATTGGGGGGGGGGATTTCAGACACAATATAGCAACATTCTGAGAATGCACTTGTTCAGAGATGTGCTTTGGGAACTAAAGATTCACATTTCTATCCATGATAAGCAAGTCCTGCTGAGTTCAATAAGAGTTAGCTACATACACCTATCCTAGTTATCTGCAATCTGGAAACACCAACATTCATAGGATTATAATGCCCACAACTCCCAAATAACACAGCCAAATTTAAGATCTTTCCATTCCTGGAAAGGTTCGGGGGATCACAACTTCTACTCTCCCCCCCCCCCCATGCTAATATGGGATGATAATATGAGCAATTGTCTAGACTTCATTTTCATCTCGCCCAAAGCAGAGGTTGATATATTCTCTCCCCCCCCCGTTCCTCCCTCCCCCTGCCCCTCCCCCTTCCTCTCTCCCTCCTCTCTTTATTTCACTCATTGTCTCTTTCCTCCCCATTGCCATTTTAGGTGTCAGGGGCCTTACTCCTTCAGAAAGAACATGCTGATGGAGGATGAACCTAAAGAAAGAAGAGTCATATCTGGATCTAAACTTGGGTGAAGAGACCTTATTTTTCAGTCTTTCTCTCAATACTCTTTAAATCAGTTTCTGACTCCCTCTTTCTTCTCCCTCACTGTTTTTGCAAAACAAGCTAATGGGGAGTGAACAAGCTGAGTGAAGACTGATAAAATTAGGCCAAAGTCTTCATGAAACGTCTAAGGCAACAGGATGCCAACATTAATAAAAAAGAATAAGGCCTTTAACCATGGGAAGGGATGGGGGAATTTTTCATACTC